GATCTCATGACCCTGAGATCATGACCTGAGCTGAAATCAAGAGTCAGACACCTAGCTGACTGAGCCACCCGGGGGCCCCGCTTACAACACTTTTTAACCTGGAAAGGACTCTAGAGATTACTCAGCTAATTTTAAAGCTGAGAAAATAGCAGATATGTTATATAGTTTCCCTGGTACAATTGGTCAGAGAATCCTATTAATTAGATAATAACATCATTGAGGCTCAGAAAGACCTAATGACATTCCGAACCCTGGCAGCTAGTAAGTAGTAGACTGAGAACTTGGAACCCAGTCTCTGACTGTCAATCCCATGCTCTTTGTATTGTTTGTGGGCTCTAGGAGTTTGTAGCCTTGTTGAGAAGATAAGCACATAAAAATAACTGACATCAATGTGATATGTGCTGTGACAGATGTTGATAGAGGATATGGGGAAGCACATAAAAGAAGCAACAAGTAAGACTTTCCAGGGAATGTGACTTGGCTGTGAGTCGTGACAGGTGTTTGTCTGGCAAAGAAAGTGAGGAAGAGCATTTCAGTCAAGATGGATCCACATAAACAAAGCAAAGTTCAGGGCATGGAAAATCCGGTCTATCATATTAAAGGATTTGTCAGGGGAGCTGCTGTGGGATTTCCAGCACGAAGAGTCATGAGTAGATTTGTATTTTAGATATAATGTTCTCATGGCTGAATAAAGGATGGGATTGGTGAGAGGGAACTGGACAGTCTCTTGTGTTAGACAAGGACAGTAGAAATGGAGAGAAAGGGTTGTATTTGAGATTTAGGAAGTAAATCCACCTGGGCTCTGTGTTTGATTGGATGTGAGAGGTGAGGGGAGGAACAAAGGTATCCCCCAGTTTATGGCTATACCATAGGTTATTGCATCTTGGTAGACCAGGTTGTTGCCATTCCAAGATAGGAAGCACGGGTTGAGCGTTAGGGTGGGAGCCATGATGAGTTCATTTAGGTCATGTTGAGTTTGAATCTCTTACCCACATGGAGACATTCAGTAGGCAGTGGAGAATATGAGTCTTGCACTTAGGAGCTAGAAGACCAAGCTGGAGAAACATATTTTGGAGTCCCTAGCATATGCCTTGTGGCTCAACCTGATAGAATGGTTGAAAGAGCTAAGAAGAATATAAGAGAAGAAGATGGCAGGAGATAGAACTTGGAAGAATGCCAGTATTTAAAGGGTGGGTGGGGTGAAGAGTTGTACCAAAGATGAGGAAGGGCTCTAGAGGTAGGCTGAGAATCAGTAAAGTCATGGAAGCTGAGACAGGAGAGGCCTGACAACTGACCACCAGGTTGAGAGGCCATTGCAACACAGAGGTCACAGGGAACCTTCAGTTTTGGTGGAGTGGTAGGGACAAAAACCCGTGAAGAAGAGAACAATGAATTTGTTCCCTCTACCCAAAGGTGGGGTCTGCACAGGCCCTTGAACTGGAGTGAACTCTTGCAGTACTGAGGTGGACAACAGAGGTTGCTGCTTGCCATCTGCAGCCGGGTCCCTGTGAGCAGACTAGTCAGTGGTCTCAGTGTAGAGGGGTGGAGCGTAGGACCCCTCCACCCCCAAATGCATACCCACCCTCTTTTATTATTTCCTTTTGGGCAGAAATTGAAGGCCCATGGAGACATCTGATTGCAACTTTTTACTTTGAGACAATGATAGCTTTCTCACTCCCTAATATGTTCGTAGACACACATTTATTGAAAGAATGAGCAAACAAGCTTAATTTCTCAAACTGAAGGACTTCTGACAAAGAAACTTTAGACATAGCATACTTACTGAACAAAACAAGACTTTCAACAAAGAACTTCTAGATATTGCATAATCCTCCTTCCTCATTACACATTTGCAGCACGTCTTCTGGGTGGAGAATAGAAACAGTGATTGTCTTCACTTCTCAGCCCATTCACTCCCAACACGGCTGGGGGCGAGGGGGTGGGGGGGTGGGAAGTTCACTGTTGGGCAGGGTCCACAGAGCCATTCAGAGAGACTTCCTGAGGACCTCCACCAACACCTGAGATCTTCCCTGCTACCTGGTGACAGCTATCTGCATTGCAAATGAGAAAGTAAACACAGGCCTGGCATTGCAAAATACCACCTATTAGGTGACAGCACATATTAGAGGAAGCATGAGGAACAGGCTTAAATTTCAGTAGAATAAAGACTAGAAAAGGTTGTACTTTAGAAGAATACTTAAAAGGACTGCGGATTGTCTTCAGATAAAATATCTTGCTTTCTTTTTCCAGAGGAAATAGTAAAGACAACACTTTTTAAAAAATATTAAGCAGTAAAAAACTGTGTGCATGGGGGAGGACTAGGAGAACGTACCACTTAAAATCTGAGAACAGATTTTCAAGGTAGTGGGTGGGACTGTCCCACCTATTCCCACCTCCGATTCACATTCTGTCCACAAGTACAAAATGGAAAAGGTAACTGATGGTTCCTTCCTATGTATATTTTTATGGAAAAATCTAATAGGGAACCAATGCAACAGGGAGAACAGTGTTCTCTTTACCCACTTCTAGAAGTTATGGTGCTTGGATCCCAGCAAACTGGCTTTGAATCCCAGTTCTCCTGTTTTCTGGACATAACCTCTCTGAGTCTCAATTGTCTTACTGGCCAAAAGGGGAAAATAATGTCTGCGTGTAGGGTTATTCTGAGGATATGATGAGGTGAGGTATGCAGAATAACCAATTAATGTTAGATTCCCTTCCCCTCCAGAATGAAGACTTGGAGTGAGAAGAGGTTCAGTGGTTTCTCTCCAATTTAAATGAACCCATCCTGGTCTGTCTTCTTCGCTGGTTTGGGAGGACTGACCAGGCTGGGTAGTGCTGCCCAGCTGGTACTGATCCCAAGGGAGGATGGGGTGGACTGGGGTTGGGCCTGAGGCAAGGATGTCCTTTCTTGGTAGCTACGATGCTTGTTGCCAGAAAGAAAGAATTGGATTGTGTCTGAGGTCAAAGCTATAGATACAGGTCCAGAATGGATCCCGAGGGTAAAGGGGCCTGGGGAGCCAAGATGTGTGGCCAACAGGGAGTCTGAGGATCAGAGGCCTGAAATAGTGTGTGCTGAGGACAGCGGTCTGTGTGACAAGTCAGAGCCTCTTGAAGGGCCTGAGGCAGAATGAACATTCCGTGGGGTTTGGTTATTGGCTTCTGGAGGATCTCTGAGAATGAGTTCTTGCTCAGCTGCCACATGAGACATTCTGGCTTTCTTCTTCTCCACTTTATCTTATCTTGAAAGGCCAGTTAAGGCCAATGCAATGTGGCCGTCCTGAGCAGGGTAATTCACAAGTGCATTCTGCTGTGCTAGATTGGGCTAACTGGGAATATCATAGGGAGTTATGAAAATAATTCAAAAAGAAGCAAAATAGCCACAGATTGCTAAGCAGAGCCAATAGCTACAAGTCCCTATCAGATTTTGAGACCTGGGTTATGACTCATGAAGCAGAGATACAGAGAGAGAACATTTCTGCAAGCAGAAGCCACAGCTGGTCCTCAGAAGGAAAAACATTCCAGTATGAGGGAAGGGGCAGCTTAGTATAGCAGTCGAGGACACGGGCTTGGGGATGAGGCAGACCCTGGATTGTTCTACCGTGAAGTGGAGCAAGTTACTTAACTTCTTTCAGTTTTCTCCTCTTGAAAAGACAATGGATATGCACCATAAATTCTCTGGAAGGACACATGTTTTAGGAGAAAGCTGCACAGATGGGGACCGAGATGGGAGAGACACTTTTTACTTCATATCTTTATACATTTTCATTTTGAACCATGTGGATGTGTGTCCTATTAAAAACCTAAATGAGGAGAAAAAAAAAAAAAGACAAGTGATGATAGTTTATACCTTACAGGATTACACAGGCCTGACAGATGACACTCACATAATTTACGGTTGTTCTTATTATTATTAATACAGGGACGCTGGCTGGGCCATCTGCCAGTGGTTTTCACCCCAATATTCTTGGCAGTCTCTTTGCCACATATCCAGATTGACCCTATATGCAGGGGCATTCCATTATGTTTATAACCAGGGGTATAAATTCAACTCCTTAAAGCAGCCTTGTAAGTGGGTAAAATGAATAAATGAGTACCACTAGTAAATTAGATTGTAAAATATATGTGTATATATTTTTACTTTTAACACATTTTAGAGAATTATATCAAATTACTGACTGTGGCACCTGGCATTGTATAATAAACACCCATAGACACTTCACCTATATTCACCAGTTGTTAACATTTTGACCATGCTTGCATTCTTTCATAAACACACACACACACACCACACACATCCATCCATATATTTTTTTTCTGAACTATTTGAACGTTAGTTGCTGATATGACACTTATATCTGTAGATACTTCAGCTTGTGTTTTCCGAGTACAAGGACATTCCCCTTACATGACCGCAATACAACGATCAAACCTAGAAAATTTAACCATCGCATAAGGCTATTTTATCTAAGTGCAATTTATATTCCAATGTCCCCGAGTGTTCTAGTAAATGTTCTTTATAGTTGTTTTTTAATCCAGAATCCTGTGTAAGATCTTCCATTGTATTTGGTTGTCTTCTTTTTAGCCTAGAACCTTTAAGTAAGCTTGTTTTATCTTTCATGGCATTGACATTTTTGAAGAGTCTAGGTCAGGTTCTGCTCTACCCTCCCCACCTCAGTGTCCTTCAATTTGTATTTGATTGTTTCCTTATAATTAGACTTAGGTTAAATTTTTTTTTGGCAGGAATACTACAATAGATGATGTTCCAATGCCATCTTTTTTTTTTTTTTTTTTTTAATATGGAATGCTTCCTGAATTTGCATGTCATCCTTGTTTAGGGGACATGCTAAATCTTCTCTGTGTCATTCCAATTTTAATATATATGCTGCCAAAGTGAGCACCCAATGCCATCTTTTATAATTTTTTTCCACCCTTCTCTTTTAAATATGTGAAACTAGGAGTAATTTTTAAAAATTATAATATTTTTATTTTCAAATATCCAGCAGGTCAGTTATTGATAAGTGACTCTGGTCATCACGTCATGACTGAAGCAGTGGGCTATTTGTACAGATCACTTGATTTAAGGGCGACCTACCTGGGATCTTCTCATTCATCAATCCATGGAATCCTGCAGTGAGTTTCTGTTCTGTGTCTCAAAAAGAAACATTCTTCTGGCTATTCACCTTAGATATGTGACCTCTTGACGATTTTTGATCCTTTGCAGGCTTCTGAGGGAAATTGAGTGGATCAGGAGTAGGAGATGTTGGCCTCAAGGCATCAGCCGGCAGTATTCTGAGGGTTCTAGGAATGGCACCTCGTTATGGGAGCACTTGCTTAAATTAAACTACCACAGTGCTCAGAGTTCTAATACAGTGAGCTCTGCAATATGCATGAATGCAGATAAGCTACAGAGAGCTAAAAGCATGGACTTGGAATCTCATACAATTTCAGATAAATCAAAATATGCTTCTGGAAAAGGGAAAAAGGTCTTGAGACCCATTATTTCCGTTTCTATTGAGGAGAAGACCCCACGGAAGACACAAAATAATGTTGAGCTATGGAATGGCCCAGAGAAAGAAGCTTCGTTGAAAAAGCAAGATTATTCCTCTAAGATCTTATCTTTGGGTAAAATGGATGGTGTAGTAAAGCTTTCACGGCACAGGATTTTGTCAGCTAAAGGCAAGAGTGAAAAAGGCCAAATCACCACCATTTACCGGCATCCCTTGGTAATAGGGTCTCTTAGTACAAATAATCCCTGGGAATCCATATCTGAGCTCATATCAGAAAAGTGGTTTTTTCATAGCCCAGATTACAGTTCAATTTCCCAGAAGAGTTTTTTTGAGAGAAGACCTCCGTTTGAACCAAATTGTTGAAGACCTCAAATGATACTAATAAAGTATAAAAATTACCACGGGCTTTTTCTTGTCTGTAATTTCTTTCTAGCTGTCTTTATTTAGAACTCTTTGATGAGATATTTTCTCTTATAACTTTTAGAGGTGATGATAATCAAAGTCTAGGGTTTCAATTTTTTAGCTCTTTAAAATGTAACAGATTGTAGCTAAAAAGAACAATTTTGAAGTGATTCACATTTGTATGGTAGGTAGAAGAACGTTGCTCTCACAGGGTTCCATATCTAAAAATATGCTGAAGCAGTGTTATTAAAGTTCTAATTGTGTTACAGTTATGTTGCTATAGTTTATTTTGGATTTATGAATTGATTTTCCATGTAAACAAAATTTATAATTGCTATCACCAAAACTTTTTTTTTTTTAAAGATTTTATTTATTTATTTGAGAGAGAGAGAATGAGAGACAGAGAGCATGAGAGGGAGGAGGGTCAGAGGGAGAAGCAGACTCCCTGCCGAGCAGGGAGCCCGATGCGGGACTCGATCCAGGGACTCCAGGACCATGACCTGAGCCGAAGGCAGTTGCTTAACCAACTGAGCCACCCAGGCGCCCCCACCAAAACTTTTTTTAATGAAACATGAATAAGAAAAGATAAATTGGAATAAACCAAAACCATAAAGTAAAAGTTTAATGTCCCAGAGTCCATGGATTTGGTATCTATTTTAAGCATTTCAATTGCCTCTCACCAGTGATTTGTTACCCACAGACTGTTAAGGATTACTTATTGGCTACCTTATCACCCAACTAAATCTTACATACTATGTTAGCAAGCCAAATGGAAGAATGGGCTTAGCTGTCTGACTTCAGGAAAATTATTTCACTTCTCTTAGCCTTTCTTTCATTAGTTATAAAATGGCAGAAACCCCAGCGCCTGCTTTTCAGGATTGCTGAGAGGACTGCATGAGATACTGCACACAGCAAGCCTTTAATGAACCGTAGTTGTTCTCTGTAACGGTCTAACTCAGAGGCCACCTTGTTCCAGGAAGCATCTTCCGAGCCCTCCAGCCAACAACGTAAGCATACGTGAATGCTTGGGTTGTCTTAAATCGTGCCCGATTTCACACACAGCGCTGTGGTCCCCAGGCAGTGTGCCAGCCTTGAGAGTTATTCCCTGTACTCCACCGAACACCCTGCTCATCAGTAACCACAGTAACCAACGGCTTGGGAAGTCCTCTGAGTTCAGGGATTCTCAGCCGGGTTCTGGGTGGGCCGCATCAGTCTTGCCTGCAGCAGCCAAATCTGCTTCAGCCACACAGAAATGTCGCATGGTGGTGGTTACTGTTTGTTCTTGGTGGAACCACAATGCACAGAACAGGTGAAGCCTCGCAGATCTGAGAGAAGACAGGCGCACCAACCCTGTGAGCAGGAGCAGGAGCGGGAGCAGGGTGGCGGTGTCCTGAGGGCCTCCCTCTCGAGCCAGGAATCCCTGGAGGGGCACTGGCCTTTTTAAGCTCTGCAGTAGGTGGGGGCGGAGGAAGAAGATGACCTTCAAACACATCAGCCCACATGTGGGACCTCGGCCCAGTTGCCCCTCATGGGCCGCACTGGAAAGATCCAACCCGGGGATCCAGGGACTTCCCAGATCCGCCCCCGCGCCCGCGCTCAGCCAGGCAGAGCCCCGCCCCCTGCCCGGCAGAACTGGGCCCCGCCTCAGGCCCCGCCCCTACCGGACAGGGCTAGACCCCGC